GTTTGGATATCCCTCTTCTAAGAATTCCAATTGAGTGTGTTAGTGTGGCCAGCTCAGGGCAATATGATATTATAAACACATCACATATCACGTCTCTGCTGTTTATAATTTCATAGGAAAGAAAACACGGCATTCACAAACGTAGAACGAATAAACCGCTCGCTACAGCCACAGGAACTTTGCTGCAAGACAGGCATATGTAACGATGAGTTAGCGCTCTTAAACTCGTGTCTCATTATAAACCGTTCTTGTGACAACAGGCCAGCGAAGAATCTAACAATCTACAGCAAAACCATCAATTATTATGGGCGTTATAACATAGGTGTGCAGCTGGACGAAACATACACGTCGAACCCCCCCAGACGATTTAAATACCTGACGAAACATACACGTCAAACCACGCCAACGGGTTAAAAAACCATTCTACACGAGTCAGGTAAGTAGGATGTCCCAGGAGGAAAGGTCAGTATTCTGTAAGGTCACAGTATCTGCCATTCTAAGCAGAAAAGTGTAAGTGTACAAACCTCCTACTCCCGGTGGTTTCTGAGATAAGAGCTATTTCACTATACAGTTGCAAAACTGTTGATAAGAGATATTACATAATGTTTCTGATACCGGTATTTATTGTTCAAGTGAAAAATGTTGGTGCAGTTTACCTAGTATAATCCATTTTTGAAAATTCCACCATCAACATCAATGCACTTTGCAACTCGTGTAAGGACATGGCTTGTTGCTCGTCTGCATGGTGTACAGTGAAATAGCTCTATCTCGGAATACGTTCGGAATAGGACATGTACATATTCACTTTTTTCTTAGAATGACTGATACCATGTTCCTCCTGGGACACCCTGTATATGCCAATATGCAAAGCAATTTTGGCAAACATTATAGACATCACGATGCACTCTGCTGACATGTAAACTCCCACTAAGTGATTTTAAAAAAAATTAATTCAACTTGGCTGTAATTCCATCATATCCACGAGCTAATGTAGGTTTCATTAACCTTATTATTTCTTCTATTTCATTAAAATTTGTCTCTTTTAATACCATTTCTTGAAAGGGTTGCAAAAAGGAAGTATATAAATAATCTGTAGGTCCCTTGTAAATTAGTCACATCCTTGTTTATCATATTGTAACGTGTTTCGTTACTGAAGACGCCGTAGAGATCATTAATTGGTTTATTGAACAATCTACAAGTAACGGCTACAATTACTTATCACACAGTTGCGGGGTTTCACACTTTATAACCCTATGCGCAAATCAGCTCAATCTGTGTTCAGTAGTCTACACGTTTACAGTAGGGGAGCTATGTATCACTGTATCACGCGCTCCCAATTACACAATCACACACATGTCCGGTTCTTCTTTCCGTGACGGCTGCTATACTCCAACTGTAGTCGGCTGACTGGAGAACTGTTGATAACACACAAGCTCGTAGGCTTGCTCGGAACTATCTTCGGCGATGGCCACGTTATAACTGACTCGTAGCTGCTGTGCAGTTCCCTTATATAGCAGCAGTGGTGCCTGTTGCGTGCCACGTCACAGTAGGAAGCGGTTCCGCATCACCGTATCACGTCACCACGCGTTGCGTGTTGCATAGCTACCAGGATCCGGGGACTCGGCTAACTTCGGCTCCGCTCGTGACGTCACCGTGGGGAGAGTGGCGGGGTGATGACTCGCCTATTACGCGAGCGCTACGTGCCGCTGGGGAGGTAGGGGTCAACATGTCACAATATCTCATGATCTAGAAAGAAATTATTAAATGAGTTTACAATGTCTTCATATTTCTGGATATTTTTGTCTGTTATCTTTAAATAAGTTACATTAGTGGATACATGATCATTTCTGGTTGCGTTCCTTATGACCTTCCAAGCTGCCCTAGCTTGATTATTGGAAGTTGCTACAATTTTATTAAAATACAACTTTTTCGCTCTTAAAATATCTCTATTTAATATGTTACAATACTCTTTGTGGTGTGCTTTTAAACTGGGATTATTATTTCGAGTTTTTATGTAACACATGATTTTTCGATTCCTGACCTTACCCATAAGTGATTAATATACGTAGTTCATGATTTTGAAATCTGACAACACAAGATAAATATCCGAAGATATGTATTTAAAAATTATTAAATACTGTATCTCCATCACTGTCAATGAAGATATTATCCCATATCTCAAAATTACTAAGCCTTCCAAATAAACCTCACAGTTCAACTGACTCCTGCAGCGGATGTACGTATAACTTTCCAGCTATTTAGATATCAACTGCATGAACAGGAGAGCCCAAATGAATCATCTGAAGTGACACATATACCTCAGGGGATGGACAGGGTGGGTGCGCTCCACACTCACTCACCAGCACTGCTACAGGACAGTGCAAGATCTCGGGTCCTCACGGCAGCAGCCAGGAAGAGAACTGTCCGCAGGGGTGTGAAACCATGCAGTTTGTTACAAGTTTACTAACATTTCAGAGGACTCTCCTTACTCTTTGAACCTGAAGATGGCAGTAACATGTTCCCCTGAAATGTCAGTGTTCTATCAAACTACAAGGTGTCACATCCCAGAACGTGCAGGACTTTCTACAGAGAGAAACAATTACAGTTCCTTCTAACAGTATTTCCAATCACTGTGAAAAGTACAAGAGAATGCCATTCAAATCATAAATGCCTTATAACTGCACTTACAGTGGGCATGGAAATTCAAGCCAGCTCATGTTTCTGAATATCCAACCACACCACACACACCCACACACAGACTTTTAGCCACTAGGAAACGAGGGAACTTCCTTAGAGAATGCAAAGTTGTTACATCCTCTGTCACTTGGAAGGATAATTTCTTCCTTACTGCCACATAGGAACTGTGAACAAACAGTAACAAATGCGTTAGACGTGACGTTTTCACACTGATCCATATTCATTACACATTGTCCTAGGTATGACATCATTCTGAAATATGGGACCTTACTGCCTACTTTGGGGTTAAACATACCCCTCTAGAAGGCCAAAGTCACTTCATACCTTGAAGAAGACAGCAAGTTCCTATAAAATGTTTTTTATATTTATCAATTTGACATTCTCATAATCAAAAACCTCTACAACAAAATAAAATTACAGAACCACAAATGTTCTTGCAGTAATTTTACTATCAACAAGCCTAGTCATTACAAAGACACGAGACATTTAGGAAGGCAGATGAGTCATTGCAATGTTCAGACAAACTGCAGTATTATGTTCAAAAGCAGGTACAACTTCTGGGTCTTCTATTGATGAATACATGTAGTGTCTTTTTATATTTTTTAAATAAAGGCTCTAAAATGATACTTTGTTATTTATTTTCATCAGCAATACTTACATCGTTACATTTCCCATTTGTGTTTTAAGTCTTTTTGACTTTTAGGGCTACCTTTTGCTACACTAGTCCAGATCATCACAATGATGATGACCTCTCTGCCCAATTAATCTAGATTAGCAAGAGTTCATTGTATCTGTCTTCCTCTAGCATCCTCTGTGTACTTTCCAACTTCAGACAATACAGCGAGCTGCAGCTCTTGCCATGATACACACATCCCTCTGTACTTCATATGCACGATGCACTATTTATTCTTCCTTGGTGTGAAGTCAACACGATGTACAGTAGTGCCATGGACAACTCTCAACATCCGGAACAGCACTTTACACTGTCGTCTGCCCAGCGCTGGCCTCAAAGGGTACATAATGATACATTACAGTCTTGCCTACTTGGGTTCAAAAACAGTATGTGATATGTGCAATATAAGTCATAACATGAAAACATTTCACTTAAGTACAATACTCAATAGCTAAGTGTACCTTTCTTGAAGAGCTAAGGGGAACCTCCATTTCAAATTCCTGTCGGAAAAACCTAAAATCTTCAAACATTAAATGGGGCTTCCACTACAGTCACTCAAAAAAATCTCCCATCCTCTATCGAACATGCCGGTTCATTACTGTGTTCACAGAAACCTGCTACTGGTCCCTGTCAGTGAATCTAGCTGACACACTATGACCTTATTTCTTCAAGACCTATTCCAGGAGTATCTTACCATCTACACCCAGGTCTCCCAGGTAGTGCCTTCCTTTCAGGTCTTGTGACCTAACTAATGTCCACACTTCTCAGCAAACCCATACATGCTACATGCCCAGCTCATCTCATCCTCGAGTCAGTAACCCTGCTAAAATGATACTGTTAACCTTTATCGGACGAATGTCATCATATGATGTCATTAAAAGTTAGGGCAGCTGGCCGAACGTCATCATATGATGTCATGGATTCCACGCGTGTAAGGTTTTTTTTAATATTATATTAAAAATATAAATTGTTGTTCTATTTACATGATTTTTCATCACCACCTTTATAAGGAGACAGCCTTCCTTCCTGCATGATCTAATGTAATCTAGCGATGTCATATGACGTTAAAAGTAAGGACAAATTGAAGAACGACATCATATGATGTCGCGCATTCCACGAGCGTAAAGATTTTTTTAAAATTAAATTTAAAATATAAATTGTTCTATTTACATAATTTTTGGTCACAACCTTTATAAGGTGACAGCCTTCCCTCCTGCATGATCTAATGTAATCTACTGACGACATATGGCCGAACGACCTCATATGATTTCGCGCATTGCACGCGTGTAAAAATTTTTTTAAAATTAAATTTAAAATTAAATTTTTGCTCTACTTACGTGATATATGTTCACCATCTTCATGAGGAAACAGCCATCCCTCCTGCGTCATCTATGGTAATGTGGCCTTCGTATGGTACTGCCGAAAACATTCTGAAATGCAGAGTCCGATGTCACAGCTCACGCACTTCGTACGAACGCTAGACCGCTTCCCACGCGAAGAGCACACACGACACCTCAGTTGCGATTTAGAGGAAGCAGGCCAGTGATATCGAACTGCAGTGATATTTATCCCCGCAGCTACACCGGAATAATTATTCACACCTCTCCAGCCACACTGGTCTGGCGGTCCCCAAGTTGCCGGCGAAGGTGAGGACCCTTCATCAGCAGAATCAGAATTCCAACTTTCCTTGCCCCTCTCAGAATCTGTTCAATAGCAGTCCGAATCTGTGTCATTGAACAGCTGTTTCTCAATTTCAGCATCAGAACTCCAACTTTCCTCACCACATTCAGAATCGGTTGAATAGCAGTCCGAATCTGTGTCATTGAACAGATGTTTCTCAATTTCAGCATCTTCCATACGATGTCGTCGTGTGGCCATGGTGAACTATAACGCTCTCTAGCAGTGAATCTCTGCGCTTAGACCATGATAAGAAGCCATAAATCTTAACCTCGAGCCCACACATACAAAAATCTCATTCACGACTTGGCTGAACCCAATATCTGCTTCACGATGTCATGGGTGGCTAACCTTATATTGTGATGTTTCAAAATCGTTACAAACACAATGGTTTGACTGCAATGAATGAACAAATGACCGATCTGGCAACACCATATTCCGAGAATTAACTCCCGTTATCTTTCTAAAACATTACACAGCGAGCGATTTCAGACGCATACAGTCGTGCATACCGAAATGTCCATACGATAAATAAGCGTCAACAAGAGACATCATTGAATGTGAAGACACCACAAGGACTTACACTGCTAAAACGCGTGGTGCAGAAAATGTATTACACTGCTAGAACGCATGGTGCAGAAAATGTATGAATTTTGGGAAATTTTTTTGGGAATCAGTGTAAAAAATTTTTACAGATATTAAAATCTGTAAATTAGAATATCTGATTCTATATTCTTTCTACATTAAAGGAGCGTTCATTTCGTTCGTTTATCATAAAAAATGTAGAAATCACACCATTTTTAGAAACATGCTTACAATTTCATTGCCCTAGAAGGGCGGGCATTTAAATAAACTCCGTCCAGCTGCCCCTACCGGAAATTAAATGGCCCGTCCGATAAAGGTTAACGGTACAAATTGTGGAAGTCCTCATTCTGCAGTTCAGTGCATTACCCACTGAATCTCAACACTTGGCGTTCGATTCTGCGTTTCTCAACACAGTCACAATCAGAACCGACGCCGCACGCACCTTCTCTGTAGGAACTCTTCACAGCTGCGGTGCGACAGGACTCGAAGGGAAGGCCTCCTGGATGCCCCACTCTCAGCTGAAAGCTGATGAGCTCCTTTACATTGATATGGACAGTAACGTGGGACTACCTTCATTCTTGTGACGCCTCGTCACCTGGGCCGGAAATTTCTTCGCCCAAGTCTCGCCAGCACCTCAAACAAACAGTACAATCTGCCTACTAGTGTATGTACTGATAGCACAAAGCAACACAACTCTCACAATGTGCTGAACAGTAAGTATGCAAACACTTAAGTTTCAAATTCCCAAACAGCTTACTTGACGATTAGTTGCCGACATTCCATGCACGTCTAGTGGAGGCAACTGGGGATCTCCCTGGGAAATCCTTCCCTGATGTGAAGTCAAGCATGTCCATGAGAGGGGCGTGAGGTAAGACCTTCATGGATGCAGTAACCTGGGTCCCGCATCCTCCATCACTCAGAACAGCAACTTCTTCATTGTTTTGTTGTTGTATTTTATTGATCTGATATTTTAAATTATAGTTTATTTGTACCATGGAGGTTTGTTTATTTCCTTTTGTAAGCTGACTTTAATTGTTGTACCCTGTGTCTCAGGGTTCATTAATTTTTATTATTTATTTTTATTTCCCGATTTCGGAGGAGTTAGGTACTTGTTTTAGTTACTGTTTCATTAGTATTGATAGTATTTATTTGGTAGTGATATGTTAATCGTTTCTGGAGGTATCTGGTTCCTCGAGAAGTGTTCACGTGGGCTATGTACACAGCACTCCCTGCACTGGGAACCCAACATGGAGTACAGTACATATCAGTGTGCAAACTGAGATGGTCTTTCACTTAGAATGGTATGGGAAAACACTAATAGCTCAGTCTACAGGCCGGACAGCTGAAGACTCAATTCCTGGCAGATGTAAGTGATCTTCCTCTACCTCAGAGCATACAGGCCAGCTCTGGTATTCTAGTGAGATGGGGACTATAAGGCGTATAGTCTTCTGGCTTGTAATGCTATGTGGTATGGCGAAAGTCTCAAGTTTCAGAGGGACACAGGTAAAAAAGGTAAAAACTAGCTATGTAACAGGCTGTGGAGGCCCATAGTGTTTTGAGATGTCCAGGCTCCCACATTTTCTAAAACAGCTAGCTCACAGATGGCGGTGAGGTCAGCCTTACATGCCAGCTGCCCTTTACCCCCAGGAAGATTCCTGGTACTCATTTCTGTTAGAGGCTGAGTTGACACCAGGGCCATAGTGTGGCTGAAAGGATTAGGTCAACTGAAAAATCCAATGACCTTATTGCGATTTGAACCTGTGACCGTCTGGCTTGCAGCATAGTGCCTCAACCAACAACGCTACCGCATGCCCCTTCAGAGTGACATATGACCACAATTTTCAGCTCTGTAGAAAAAGCTAAGCACAAAATTTGTTGTCTGCTTCTGCTGGTTTCTTGCTTAGCTGACTCTTCAACGTAATATCTTCGTCTGAAATACTGGGCCCTTCTAACCCTCACAGGGACAGGATTCTACTATTCCTATACAAATAGCTTCTGGCATAACAAATACCTGTATTATGAAGCATTTTTCCTGCAGTCATGGCAGAAACTTTGAGATTGTCCATCTTCAGCCTGAAGTTCATGAACTCCTTGAAGGTGAGGGTGACACTACTTCCATTCTCACTGCTCCACAATAAAAGAACAGTGGGCACCAACCAGTGAATACCAACGTCTCTTAGGAACCGTTAACAAAGAAAGAGGCCAGAAGATTTAAATTAGAAGCCTAATAGTGCTAGTGGGCTTTCAGCTGAGATGGAAACATGCTGCTTGCAAGTGCAGGGTGACAAGTTTCCTCGGTCCCAACACAAACTTATCACATTCTATAAAAACTGTTAGAACACTGCTCCTTCTGCCTTTAAGCATGACTCAAGGCTCGCAGCAAATTCTTCAGTTCTCAAGTGAATAGTTTCTTCATGTCCGTGCATAAAGTACGCACAACAGCAATACTTTTACACTGTGTAATGGAAATTGCACATTCTGCAGTAACAAGCTGCAAAACTTGAATGCTTCTTGTATAACTTTAAGTTCAAGCAAAATGTAATCAGTCTTGTGGCTGTGGGTGCAGATCCCAGTGCAAATTGCTCCTTGTGTAGTGGTCTGTATAGATCCTTGCATAACTTACCTCTTCTTTAGTCTGCACATTGTGCTAAGTTTGTCTCGCACGACAAAATTACGTATACCGCTGTCGGCCAACACTGCGTTGTTACTTCCCTCTTACCTGCAAGATCTTATGCCGATATATTTTTCGACCACACTGCTCAAACAGATTTTATCGCTTTTTAATTTTTAAATCGTTACAAGCCGTAAAATAAGCTCCCACACTCTTTCACATCACAACCTCACAAACGAAATGGCTACCTTAAGGTTCAAGATCTGCAACATCTTCGGACACACATTAAAACAAAAACAATCACGGACATGGGCAGCTGATCCGTGGAAATCTTCTTGATCGGTTTTCATGACCTTCATGACGGTAATGAAGGCACAGCGATATGTGCGATACGTACTACAGTACGAGTGTGAATAGGTATATGCTCTCTGACGGCGTAGTAGTTTATTACGAACGGTTACGAAACTAATGAACGTTATGAACATGGTACAGAACGTACAGGACATTTATGCTCCAGTCATTCCCGGTGTTCCCGGTCGTCCCGGTCGTTCTTGATTGTTAGGCGTTCCTAGATTCTAGTAATTGTACCGGATTACTGGAAGAGCGTGAAGAGGTCGTGTGCAGTTGTGTTTATAAGTTGCGGAGACTTGTGGATCGGTGACGTTTGTTCGTTTCGAGCAGGAGTTGCTTAATACGAATTTGAAATTGCAGTTATAATGGCTACAATATTTCGATTTTGGATGGGGACAAGTAGCATTTTAATTCCTCGCAGTAAACATGTACACTGCATTTGCAGCACCCGAAATATATCAAGTGTGTAGTATAGGTGTTTGGTTTTACATATTGACAAGTCATCCAGAATAATTTGCATTTTTCATTAGTACCCTTCTAAAACTCGTCGTATGTATATCAAAATAAATAAAACTAAATTACCTTCAGCCGCTATAATTTGCCCTTCAAAGAGTTAATGCGGCAGTATCGAAGAGTAATGTAATTTCTGGTCCCACCGGATGTCATCAGTGTAGAAAGCTGTAGTTTCTTGTAGGATATAAGTTTCTGAGCTTTCTGAAAGCAGTGGTTAAGAAGCGTTCTGTCTTTTGGGATGTAACGCCGTATAGTCATTGCAAGTCAACATACGTTTCGAAGGGAGATGGAGGCGACATGTTCTTTTGAAATCCCTGTTGACGTACAATGGACTACATGGTGTTATATAGGAGAAGACAGAACTCTTTAATTTCTTACCGTAGAGCAGGCAAGTGGTGATGTTTGTAAAGTGAGCATGAAATTTGAGGATCGTAACAAGTTCATGTTGTATAGATACACAATGAGTGGAGTGCCTTAAATGAATTATTATATATGGAATGAATATGTGATACTACAGTCTAGAAATCCGTTAACGGCCGAGGGGATCCGTTGCCCTGACCACGCAACACCCTCTATCTGCCAAAGTTGGCACTAACTTCGCCGACAAGCTGCGGTCGCTCGGTCAGTATAGCTCACTTGCAGACTGAAGCCACGGAGTTTGTTTTTGTTTGTTAGTGTGATATTCTCTGTAATTTTTATATGATAAAGATTGCAGAAAGATTTTTCAAAATGATTTCATAATTGAGGAGCACAGTTGGTGTTATCTGATGGAGAGATTAGTTCAGTTGTGTGTCAGTAACGTCATTGCTTCAGCCAACTTGCTCACTACCAGTATATGTGCTATTATTCCTCCATTTGTCCATATACAATAGTGGCTTAGTGCCTCATATACAGGGCAGCCCCATGACAATGTATACAAGTTTCCAAGGTAATGTGAAGATGGAGCAGCAAAGTATGTTGTTGCTGTTCTTCCAGAACTCCATGCAATTGCATCAGCTATCTGATATTGTGATGTTTAGTATTTACAACTACTGATATGTTGGGATTTTGGACTTTATCCATCGTCCTGGTTTTTAGGATAACAAATAAAAACACGACATTTTGGAAACTGGATCTGTTTCCGTCCTCAGGTGAAGGAAAACACATATTCAGTTGGGTCCCTTAGAAAGAGCTAGCCTCAATCACTGTCCAGTGACAGATCCAGTTTCCGAAACGTCGTGTTTTTATTTGTTATCTTAAAAACCAGGACGATGGATAAAGTCCAAAATCCCAGCATATCAGTGTGTTATATACCATCATCAAAATCCTATAGTAACTACTTTTACAACTACTACTTTGGCAGATGATGCGAGGAGCAGCTCACTGACAGAAATGTTGTATAGTAATTTTAAAAGTTGTAAAATGGAATCTGAATTGTGCACAAATTTAATAAATTTTAAAAATTAGCTAAAACTTAGATATTAGTTCTGTCATATCCATTATTAGAAAGTGTCTTTGTGAAATAGTATAGTCACAAATTAACCATATGTTATGTTCATATTGAACTTGACAGACACTTGTATGTGTGATTATTGAATGATCCATGTTTATGCTCAGAGCCTCATACAGCACAGTCACCAGCAATAATCTGAGCATAAGAATGACATTATGCAATGAAACCAGAGGTACTTTCTCAGATGGGAAGTTTTCAGTATAAAATTGTTCCTTATGCCTGCAAAAGTCAGACTGAAACACTAGATTTGATAACATATGGATAGTTTTATTTATGGTTTATTTAATGATGCTGTCAGGGGCATCAAGTGTATAGCATTAGATGATAGGATGCTTATTGAATGATGAATAGGAAAGAGTGTGGAAGGAAACAGTCATAGCCCAATCTAAGATACGTTGTGGCATTTCCCTGTGGGGACTGAATAAAACCAAAAAAAGGAGCTGAGTCATGATAACTGGTGTCCTGACTAAGATCCAGACTTCCAGAGTATGAGCTAGAAGCATTGCAGCATGTGCGAACTTGCCTAGCATAAGGATTGTTGGCAGTCAGAACTCTTAAATGAAAATTGTCTGCAAGGTTCAACTGTGAGAATTGGAAGCGTTAAAAGTACTGTGCCATATTTGCTCAAGGCAAGAAATGTGAAGCCAGCAGAGACAGCCGTTGCTAGGGAACAGCTCAACAAACATGCCCATTGCTGGGCAACAGATTCATGACATGCAAGAATGGAGTAAATTGGAAGTGGTGTTCTCTATGCGGTCCATGCGATAGCTATGTGGCACAACAATCAAAGAACTCTTGGGAGAAGTTTTTGTAAGCGGTCTATACTGATGCTGTATAACAAGGGTCAGCTTCTATTAGAAGAGAGTACACTTGACAAAAGGCCAAGCATTTTCGTAAGAGACAAACCCATCTTCTCGTCAGAGACGATATTGTGTCAGGAGTATTACCGCAGGAGTTCAGTTGGAAAAGTCTCTGGTTGTGGGTTTCAAAGGGCTTGACACCAAGCTGAACTGTTGGCGGTAAATCGCCAGTCATAAAGTAACTTTGACTTTGACTTTAGAAGAGAGTCTTGTGAGTCAATCAGAAGAGTAGGGTGTTGATGTGAGATGGCTGCCAGCCTGGGAGTGAGTTATAAGACAGTTGCTGGCCAGTAAGGACATGAACAGCCATGTGATTTACTCCATTGTTGATGCTAGTTAGACATTGCTGTGAAGGACGCGTTGAGTGGTAGTGTGCGAATCTGAGAGCTCCTTAATTTAAGTACAAAAGAGCAGTTTAATTCGGTCAGTAGTAAAAAATAAGTGGTTATCTTCTATTTAAATTTTTTTCTATACTGAACGTTTTCTTCCTTTTTTTACTTACTCTTAAGCCACGCTTAGCTCCTAGGCCATTTTCCGCCATATTGTGAGCTATTAGTATCTGATCTTCCGCTCAACGCTTCTAAACTGCATTTTCTTAACTTAACTTTCTGTTAATATAGATTAGTAGTAGAATTAGTAAACATACTTGTTATTTTGTATCTTAAATACGGTGATTTGTATTTTCATAAGTGTACTGGTAGGCCTAACCTACAAGTAGTGTGTTACTTGTCTTAAGGAAACTGATTTGTATTTTCGTAAGTATACAGTAGGCCTAACCTACAGGGAGTGTGTTATTTTATATCTTACTGAAAGTCGATTTGTATTTTCACAAGTGTTATTTATATCTTACATAAGTTGTTTGTATTTTCGTAAGTGTACAGTAGGCCTAACCTACAAGGAGTGTGTTATTTTATATCTTAAGGAAGTCGATTTGTATTTTCACAAGTGTTATTTATATCTTACATAAGTTGTTTGTATTTTCGTAAGTGTACAGTAGGCCTAACCTACAAGAAGTGTGTTATTTTATATCTTTAGTAAGTTGATTTGTACTATTGCAAGTGTACCAGTGGGCCTAACCTAAAATAAGTGTATCATTGTATATAGTGGGCCTTAAAAGATTTGTGCCAGCATATACTCTTGTAAGT